AAATTAGGTACCTTAAAACTACTTTAGGAAATTAAATTAATTTTTTTAATCACAATAAATAATAATTACATAATTCAGATAAAATAAATGTGTCACATGATGCCTGGCAGAAATGGATGAAAAAAACAAAGAAGTAACTTGGTTTGAGAATTATAATATACATGAACAATCAGAGACACAATTACCGTTTTTTTTTCTGGTTTAAAATAGTAATAATAATAAAAAAAGAAGCAATTCTGTGTGGAAAATAGCATTTACTATAATTATGTTTGCTTGATTTCAAAAGATACTTATAAAAAGAAAACACGCCACAGTATAATGCAGCACCTTCACTATTTTTGGTAACTGAGCTTCACACAGTCTCTCTTACTTCCTATGGTCAGAAGCAAATTTATTAAACTTGAAAGTGAACTTAGATGACCTTTCTAAACTTGTAGAGATGAAGTTGACTGTAGGAGGCAGCACATACCTGATTGTAATATTCATAACCAAAGGTATATAGTCTTACTGTGCTCCATCTCCACTAATGTCACAGGCTGTCAAATCAGGTAATGTCTTTTTGTCTTGATAAAACAAATTTGAAAATACTGACATGGTTAGAGTTTTGGTATAAAATGTGTACAAGAAAAAAAGTGATATGATATTTCATGATTATGATGTTCACATACTTTTCAGAGGATAATTGAAGTCTTACATGATATCACTTTTTTGTTTTAATTTTCGTTCTTAAAATGCTCAAAAATTGTTTGTAACATTTTCATGAGAGGCTGTAAATATTTAAGAATGGTAAATATCGATCATCAACTCTTAGGATTTTGATAGAGAAATACTGGAGTACATGTTTCATAGAATATGTAATTAAAAATGATTAAGTTATGGTATACAACAAAGACAATCTCTCTGGCAAGGATGCTCAGAGGATGATACTATGATCATTTCTTGTAAACTATTTTTCATTATTATAGTAGATCAGAAGTTTTAGAATGCAAGTTAATTAACAAAAATAATAAGAATTATATTAACACAATAAGAAGATGAAACCTTGAATTCTGGAAAATGTATGTGTAAGCTAATCGAAACCAAGTGATTTACTGGTTTTTGTTCTGGTGATGCACATCTGATTATATGCTTGAGGTGAAAGTTGGAGATTCTGGTGCTGTTAAGTAAAACATCACTTGAAGTTATTGTAATATTCTTCTACAGTATAGGTTTGTATCATGCCCCAAAACTATAGAAACAAGGAGTTACTTTGCATTTTTTTTTTTAAAAAAAACAATTACATTTTAGTAAAAAACTTTAAAAAAAAGTTAAAATAATTATCTAGTAATTTTTTTACAACAATTAGGTAGTGTGTTT